CAGGCTGGAAATGCTGATGGACAGAGAGAGAAGAAACTGATAATGATTTCATAAACTTGGACATGAAAGGAGAGTTGTTGCACAAATACAGCTCAGTGGTAGAAGCTGAGAACAAGGGCTGGTGTGGGATTGCCAAGGTTCAAACTGGAGCCAGACTGCCACTGCCTGGGTGACCTTGACCTGATTTGACTTACTCTGTTTCCCAGGGCCCTCATCTCTACGATGGGACAATAATACCTACCTGTAAGGCTGCTGTGAGGACTAATGTGCTAACAGATGTTAAGTGTTTATAACAATGCCGAGTACATAATATATTTGCAACAGTTAAAAATAAAAGTCTTCTTGTAAATCAAATGGTCTCCCAAAGTTGCATTGTCCAAAACTACCATCTACAAGCCTTAAATAAGTTATTATAAAGTGAGGACAGATAACTTTTAAAACATAAATAAAGTCTGAAGTCACATTTCTCATATCTTGTTTCATTTGTCTGAGTTCTTTGATTGCCCCCCACCCATACTTTCCCTTTAAAACCCAGTTGGAGGAATGATAAATAATAAAAGGAATGGTAATCTACCTCTCAAACTCTTTCTCTTGTGTGTGAATGTATGTGTATATATATATATATATATAACAAATACAGCTCAGTGGTAGAAGCTGAGAACAAGGGCTGGTGTGGGATTGCCAAGGTTCAAACTGGAGCCAGACTGCCACTGCCTGGGTGACCTTAACCTGATTTGACTTATTCTGTTTCCCAGGGCCCTCATCTCTACGATGGGCCAATAATACCTACCTGTAAGGCTGCTGTGAGGACTAATGTGCTAACAGATGTAAAGTGTTTATAACAATGCCGAGTACATAATATATTTGCAACAGTTAAAAATAAAAGTCTTCTTGTAAATCAAACGGTCTCCCAAAGTTGCATTGTCCAAAACTACCATCTACAAGCCTTAACTAAGTTATTATAAAGTGGGGACAGATAACTTTTAAAACATAAATAAAGTCTGAAGTCACATTTCTCATATCCTGTTTCATTTGTCTGAGTTCTTTGTTTGCCCCCCACCCATACCTTCCCTTTAAAACCCAGTTGGAGGAATGATAAATAATAAAAGGAATGGTAATCTACCTCTCAAACTCTTTCTCTTGTGTGTGAATGTATATATATATATATGAGATTCTAATTGGTTATATATTATATAATTGGTGTGTGTGTGTATATATATATATACATATGAGATTCTAATTGGTTATAATATAATTGGTTATAATTTGTAAACCTGGATTACTTATAATTGTTAACCCATCATTAATATACCCACAATTGTATATTTCTGTTAGTGGAAAAAGTCACAAAGGAATGCCAAATTAAAAAAAATATATACTGTTGTCCACCTATATATCTGTTGAGTAGTAGGTTTCAAAAAAATGTTTAGTATCTTGATTCCTTTTTAACATACTTTAGAAAAAAATAAGTATGAAGAAACATAATTTTTTTTAAAAAGCTGTCTTTCTCAAAACTATATAAAGTAGCAGTCTCCATTTCAGCAGCCCCCTTCACCAAGAAGGCAGGCCTTGAAGACTAGAGGAAGAAATGTAAATGGTTATCCATTGCTGGTAAAAACTATTTTCTGAAGAATCTAGAAGAGCTTCTAACATACGTACTGAAACAGTCCCTTTACACTTCTGAAATCAAATATATAGTATAAAATCATTATCTAATTGATTTCTCCATCTTTTTAAGGATCTCTAGTAGCAAGTAATCTTATAATTTTATCGTCCAAAGGCAATTTTCAGGAAATTATGACTAGAATCAGTGATATTTCCCACAAGTCTGACCAAATTATCAAATTTACAGGCTTACAGAATGATAATCCATTTTGTAATAGTAAATGATATGAGCTACAGAATTAAGTTTTAACTCATGTGACACTACTGAAGTTTAGATTAAGGGAATCAAAGAATATAAGACAAATATTTTAACTTATCAAACCCAATACACATAATAACATTATGAAGGAATGCTTTGCTTGCAACTGAGCAGAAGAGGAACCATGAGCATGGCTCTAGGATGTGCATGGCCCAGGCCCCTCACCTGACTCAGGCTCCTTGTTCTTCACACTACTATTATAATCATTGTTTCCACATAAAGGGAGGTCATTTAATGACTCTTTTCTTTACATACTGTCACTTTGCACTTGTAGGTCAGGTTCTTACTGTAATAGATATAACTATTATGATACAGAAAATTATTCATTTTAATATTTATTGAGTGTTTGTTATATTCATGGGATTATATTAACCTTTTTAAAAAGAATTTTTAAAGTGACTGATACCTATTTATATAAAATTTTATATTTAGAAGTTGACATCAAAGATGATAACATATGAAATAGGCCACGCAGGGAAAATAAAACTGCAACAAATTTTACATGTGTCTGTTATCTGATAATGGCTGCTGTAAGTTGGTTAAGGTGACTATTGTTGGATTTATTATTTTAATGGCATTAGAAGTAACTGCTCAAAATATCTTTATTTTCTTGTTTCAACAAAGAATGGCAATATATTTTGGTATATGAGACCTAGTGCATGAGTTTCAAATTCGATTAAATATATCAAGTTTACACAAAGCCATATGTATGAAAGGGGATCTTTTAAAAAAAACTTTATTTGAGAAAGGAAGAGACTTATAACAGAAGGCAAGAAGAGAAACATACAAACAATATATTTACAACACAAAACAAGAGATCACCTTCAAGGGTGTAAATTATAATAAATACAGTAGATTTTAAAAGAGACAATTATCAATTAGTTCTAAGATTATTTAAGTCCAGCTTTCCTTTTCACTGGTTCCAGGTAGTTTCTTGATTAAATTCAAAGACTATCAAATTCAAACAATTAATGTCCACCAACTGTACTGATGAAGCTCTCTCAAATGACACTATAAAAAATAGGTTTTTTTTTTGTTTGTGATTACATATCTTTGCAGTAATATTATACAAAAGCCTGCTCAGCCACATGTTCCTCCCCAAATAAAATGTATTTTAAAAGATGCACTATCCCTTTTTTATGAGATTGCAAAAAGATTTTAAATAAAATGTATATTTATGAGATGGAAAAAATATAAAATTTTATCTTAGGAATGCCATATTTTTAATGCAAAACAACTGACAAAAAGTCATTTTAATCTGAAGGAATATACTAACCAAAATATGTTGGTAGTAGGAAGTGTTGCCTATTACAGCTATTTGTCAAATTATCGAAGGACTTTCATTATATGGAAAAGTTTTAAACTTTCTAACTTCTAGTTATGTTACTTTACTTTGAATGGAGACTTTTTAAAAAAGGATAATGTATCTTTAGCAGTAACCTTTTTTAAGAAATATTTTTAAATGTCACAGCAAAATGTAAACAACACGTGCCAGTAACATACAGTTATACAAGGTCTACATTTGGCAAAACTGCTATATCTCCTTTGAAACAGGATACTACACCTTAAAATACCTCGGATTTAGAAATATAAATATTTTAATAGAAAAAAACCTCACAAAGATTCTAGGTCAATTTGGATTATCCATATTAAAGGGGTCTTAATACAATGAATCTTTAACTAGCTTAACAAAAGTAAACCTATAAAACAAGGTAAACATATCAAAAGAGAGTATGAAGGAAATGTTCCAGTGAAAAGCTTCCTTAACAATTTCCCTACTTGCGGTGTTATTTTCTTAGACAATAAATCAATTCATAGAGTGCCCTTTAAAAACAGACAGAGTAAAACACTATCCTCCGTTTTTTTTCCCTACATTCCTCAGTACATGAATCACTTGGACTTCCTGTTTCCACAAGGCATTTCCTGTTCAGCCTCATAGAAACAGTTTTCTGTAGAACAGCAGGAACCTGACAAAGAACTGACTTAAATAAACAGTCTTCTGTTGCCTTCAAAGTTGTTTGCATTTCATAGCATCAAAGGACACCGTCCTTCTGAAGGTGCATTATGTACAAGTAGATTCTTTTGTTAAACCTAACTTTCCTAATTTTTTATTTGCCAAAATAGTATGGTATACATTGTGTCATTATGGAATTATACTGAAGAGATCCTAGTGATAACGATGATCAAATATGACACACCTTCTTTTAAACATGATTTTTGACTTCAGGTCAGATAATAATCAAACTTACTATTTTTTCCACAGCTGGAGATACAATGTCGTATCTGATTGGACCATAAAGCGGCACGTTAGTTCTTGCCAGCATTTGCATCTGCTTCATTTGATCTTTTTCAATAAACAATGTCATCAAATAACACAGGATAAAAATGAAATGAGCAGTACTAGGTGAGACAGAATGTGATATTTAAAATAGTGCTGTACTTTGCATCTATATATTTAGAACCACCTCTATTCCTAATATTTTCAACTGCAATCTATACAATAACCTAGGACTACTGGCATAGTAACCAGAACATTTCACTTAACAAAAAAAGAGAGAGGAAGGAAGGGGCTGACTAATTTTAATAGGGTTCAAGACTGTAGTATGATACATTATGTACAACAATGTGAAAATTGAATTCTACATATTAAAAAAAATCAGTAACTAATAAAATGTTTCATTGATCAGACTGGAAAACTATTCAGCAGTCACTGATCTCAACAGATAAACTAAAACCAACAGTTCGTTTTCCTTAGACGTAATTGGTGTGGCAGGCTTTGGGATGAATTAAAAGCCTATTAATTACTTGGATACTGATGTAGTATAAGTTTAGTGTAACAGGTATTTCCTTACCAGTAGAGTTTCAAGAAACCTTGCTATCTATATAGAGATCAGTATATAGAAAGATCTATATATAGATATATCTGCATTAATCAGAATCCTTAAACACTAAAGTCAAATCATTCAGAGATATAAACGGATAGGAAATAATATCCATTTACCAAAACCGGCAATGCATTTCATGTTCAGATAATGACTTTAATTACAAATCCTGGAGCTAAATCTTTGCCTATTACCTGTTGCATAAAAGCAGCCTGCTCCCCAGATTCCATTTCCTGGATCTGAGCATCTTCATCACTGTCCACGGGTTCCTCCTTCACCTTCACAGCACCAGCTTGTCCCAATGTGTCGTCCACACAAGCACTGCTGTCACGCCTAGTGCTGCTGCCACTAGAGGGCGCTCTGTCTTCCTGCATCGCTTGGTCCCCCTGAAGCTCTTCCTCCGCTTCCTCGAGGTGACTGCCTGGTTGCTTCAGTTGTTCAATAGATTTCGAAAGCAGCTAGAAGAGAGTGTTCAGGGGTTCAATATTCAGTGGTTCTTGGTGGTAACAGAGCAGTAATATACACTTTGATTTCCTGTAATTCTACTTCAGTACACCCTGATTTCTAATCTCTGAGGATCATTTTCAGAATGAATTTTTATGCAATGAAATTCTTCAGTAATACTAAATTTGAAGCAGTCCCACCAATTCCATACTGTATTGATGTCCTAGGCAGGGAATGAGGTCTTTAAATGTTTTGTTTTTTAAAATAGTTCACTCTTTAACCGATTTAAAAAATGGTGGGAAAAGGGAAAATAATGAACTTTTCCTTGGGAAACCATGAAACTCACACAGGACAGGTTGTAATGAATCAGTTTAATCCAGGCAAACCTGAGAATATTTTTTCCCTAAAAGAAGAAGTGTAGCAGAAATAATATTAATAGAAAGGTAATGAAAAACTTCCCCAATCTCATTTTCCAACAAATGGCAACCATGGTATAAGTCAGAAGCATAAATTCTAAGAGTGCTTTTGTCTGTTAATTTTCCTATACCCAAATGGTCAAATGACAAAAGAGCTATGTATACTTCTGCAAAGTGGAAATATTGACTTTAAAATCTTGAACTTCAAAAAGATGCAAAATTTAGAGATAGCACAGAATTTTTTATTAATATCCAAATAAAAATTAAAGAATAGGACCATAACAAGGAATCATTTGAATCTGAAAATTATTTAGACCTTTTATTTTTAAATTAAATCATATTTAATCTCTAGAAATGTATGAATTATAATTTAAAAAGATAATTGGCAATACACCTAAATTGAACAATAGCAAAATGCCACGGCATAAAAATTTGTTATATGGGGAAAAATTCTCACAATGATTTCATCTCACATAGGCCTTTTGTTTCATTTGACAAGGAGCCTGCTGACTGGTTATCTGCAGATCCTGAACTGTGTTTCAAAGAGTGGTTAGAATTTTCTGCTGAGTCGGTGCCCATGTAAGCAACATACCAACTATTATGATGAGCAGCATGGTTAGAATACCAACACAAAAATCATGAATACAGACTTTTCTATGAAAAATTCAAATTTATCTCCCACTCACACCTATGTTTTTAGAAGCTGGACACATCCTGTAGGTTTAGAATACATAAGGACTCAAATTTTGAAGGGTGTCTTAACCTCAGACTTTCCTCCAGTGCTCACAACCTCAAATGGCCTTGCATATGCTGACAAAGCCCTTCAATTTCACTGTAGTAAGAATTATACTGGGAGTTTTCATTTGTTCAGCAAATATTTATTGAGTGCCAACTATGTTTCAGACTCTCTGCTAGGCACTGGGGAAACAGCCATTGCCCTTCCCTCAGGGAGCTTTCAGTTTCGAGTGTTAGAAGGGCACCAAACAGATGCATAAATTTATTTTTATTTTCAAGTATGGTAAATGAAAAAGGGAGCAATACAGCGTGCTGTAAGAATACACACTAAATGAAACAGGAGGGAAGTGTGGACGATTTAGGAAAGTTCCACTGAGGAGGCTGAGACATCAGATATGAAGGATGGACAGGAGGAGTTGGATGTGTGTGAGGAGTGGAAATCAGGGGAGGGAGCACTTCTGGCAGAAGGCACAGTGTGTGGACTGGAGGAGAGCCCAGTGTGTCTGAGCAACTTGAAAGGTCGGTGCGGTTTGAGCACAGGAAGACAGGGAGAGAATGCTGGAAGATGATTCTGGAAAGAGTGACCCAGTTTATAATATATTTGAGTTGTGAATAAGATTCTAGAGAAATAAAATATAACTTAGGATAAAGCATATATAAGACTGAGATTTTGGAGAAAAGAGACAATGTATTATTCCTGAATTTTGACTATACGATTGTAGAACTCCACTTAATTGGCTAGAAAAAGAACACGTAACACCACGGAAAAGAAGCAGGCTTTTAACTGAAAAGCTCCAGGTTTAGCTGGACACCAGGGATAAGAACATTCAGTGACAAACATCCACTCATTCTTCAAGACAGGGGTGGACAGACACAGAGAAAGAGATGACCAGCCAGGCTTGCTACCTTGACCTCCTCACTCACCAAGACAACATACAAGAGCAGGTTAGAGGATCTTGTGGGAGAAGACATTAAATTAGAAAACATATCAGTCAGGCGAAGGGGACTGCGAGAGCCCCTTCGAGACACTATCTGTCAGAAGACTGTTGCATTCGTCTTCTGGATGTATGCTTGCTGAGCTGTGGAAATTCCACCTCTTGATACCCCAGCTTAGCTGGAAAAGTTCATGGGAGCTAGTTTATCAGGGCTGATGAGCCAATGATACTGGTGGGTCAAACAGATGCCTTCACAAGGTGGTCAAAAGATCCTCCCCCTAAGAGCCTCTGTGAGGGCAAGAGGATAAAAAAGCAAAACTCTATGGATGTGTGGCTATAGGACAGGAACTAAGGGCCATTCATGAAGGTCAGCCAGGGAGCATGTGTGACCAGTGTCCAGGAAATGCCACGTCAAAAGTTCCTGCTTCCTAGGGGTAACTCTGCATCTTATTCAGCTTCTGGATGTCTGACCACAGGGAGTATTTAATAACCAAGAGGAAGTCACAGATACCACCCGCTAAGTAAAAAGACTTTTCTGTTGCTATTTCTCTCCTCAGCTTCAGTTCCAGCATGGCCTCTCAGTGTCCTGACCTCGTAACCTCCAATGGTCTTATCCTCCACTCTACTTCAGCTCCCAGTGATCTGGCCTTTGTTGGTGGCTGTACAACAGCCACCTTTGTTGGTGGCTGCTCTTAAACCTCAGTTTCAGACATCATTTGCCTCCTTGGGCTCATCCTCAGAATATTTTGACCCCGACCCACTCCTCACCTCTGGAGGGCTCTCCAAGCTATTGAACCTGCCACATTTTCCCTGCCTGTCACCCCCTCCACCCTCGTTCCTCAACTTCCCTCCTTGCCGGACTGGGTTCCATTCTTCATCATTAAACATCACTCCCTTATTACTATCTTCAACTCCCCTGCCCTTTTCAATATGGATTTTCCTGTATGAGTAAGACTTCCAACCTTGCTTAATATTAAATCTCTGCCAAACCCAAGCAGCTGAATAAGCTAGGAAACAAATAAACAAATTACAATCACGCTGAGTGTTTTGCTTCATATCCGTGATCATAACCCTCAAATGGACCCTCAGTGCTGACTGGAAATACTACTACATTTCTCTGGCTAATTTTCTCTCACTCTCTCATTGACTACTTCAAAGTACCTCCTTTCTCCTCAAACTCCTACTATCTAGATCTTTTCCTCACTCCTGCTATTTTTGCTTCTTATTTCAGTGAGAAAACAGACATTTAAAAATAGAGAAGTTCAACATTCTGCTACCAAGCTGTCCCACTCACCCTTACTCACATAACAGTGGAAGAAAGGTCTGCATCCCTATCTTAGTCCAGCCCTTAGCTTAATGCTCTGGGTCCTGTCCATCCCTGCAATTTTCCATTCAGCTCTCCATCACTCATTTCCCATCTCCGCTGGAGTACTTCCACTTGGACACCTTCAGTCTTACTATCCATCTTAAATGTAACCTCCCTTGGTCCCACCCCCATCACCTCACCAAAAAAAAAAAAAAAAAAAAAAAACACCAAAAAACACACATTATGTACCTTCCTTCACAGTAAATCTCCTTGAGTTATTTCTCTTCATTGTCTTCATTTTTCTTCTCAGTCTCTTTAGAATTCACTCAAACTAGGCTTTCATCCACACCGCGTGTGTGCTTAGCTGTTTCAGTTATGTCTGTCTCTTTGCGACCGTATGGACTGTGACCCGACAGGCTCCTCTGCCCATGGGATTCTCCAGGCAAGAATACTGGAGTGGATTGCCATGCCCTCCTCCAAGAGATCTTCCCAGCTCAGGGATCAAACCTGTGTTGCCCGTGATTCCTGCATTGCAGGCAGATTCTTTACTGCTGAGCCACTGGGGAAACCCTAACTGACTGAAATCTCTCTTGTTAAAAAGTCAGTAATGACTGCATAAATACCAAATCCAGTGGCACTTAAAATCAGATATTAACAGGAGCAGCCAGGATGAAGTATTTTTGAAAAGAAAACATGACAAAATCAAATCATCTTTGAAAATAAGAGATTTATAATACTAACGGTGGCGCAGCCAACGAATAGACAAGATGTATGTCAATTTACTGAAATATAATTTCCCATAGATAGCAAATATGTCAAAGAAAATCTTTAATACTGACAAAATGCTGAGTGTTCACCAAATATTTCATATGTTCATTTAAACTGAAAACCTTTAACAGAAAATCTGATCTGTTAATGTACTCCTGAAGTCACTGGAGTACCCAGAAATCACATCATTTAGTCCCCGAATCAAATCTGATCAGTATTTACCACCTCGTTGACATAGAGACACACACGGAAGTGTGTAAAAACGATCTCCAGTGTGCAACACAGAATCAGTGCTGTTTGTTCCAGCGCCTCTGGCTTCATCTACACTTCTGCCGGACTTGAAGTACGAGAGAAATAAGTGCCAGAATGGATAATGCTGTGATAACTGGATGAGAAGGCCAGATGGCAAAACAATTTTCTTCTAAGGGCAGAATTCCTTAACGGTTTGTAAAAGAAACATTTCTTGATACAAAACAGTGACTTATGAGTGGAGATCATATAGATATAAAATGTTGGAGTTGAAAATTTTCTAACAACATTCTTCAAATTCTTATTTTATAGAGAAGGAATTTCATGCCCCCCAAAAGCTGAATCATCTCCAGAAAATACACCTAGAACATTTTATACCTTCCACTCTGAAACAGCAATATTCCAACAACAACTGAATTCATATAAACAAATCAATGTCTCCCCTCAACCCCAAACTTACATAATTCAACTGCTTGCCTAATGTTATCCCTTAGATCTAGAACCTCCACTAGGTGTCAGAAACTTTGAGTAGCTCAAAGATAACCTTTATTCCATTTGTACACAAATGTATTGATCACCTAATTTTCCTTCTCTGAGTAAACACC